TACCTAACTTACTTTTGCACCATATCATCAATCAAACGAACAGGTATATTTCGCAAAGTAATAAGATATGCTGCGGCTAGATTCTAGAAGAACATGTGGATAGAAATTAGTTAATTTATTTCGGAAATTAGCTCTCATTTATGAGTTAGGGTTCGAGATCACTACTTCAATAATTGATAATTAGCTTTTTAAATGTATTGACCATACAACTTTAATGAAAAATTGTTAATTAAGCATCTTTATTGACAAAAACATATGGTAGAATACAAAGATCTAGTTATCCGAGTCTTCCATCAAATCATCAACTTCTGAATGATCAATATGTTTAGCATTATCGGAATCAGCACTTTCTCCTTCACTATCAGATCTCGCCCTAATATCAATATGCTTTTCTCGTAATTCTTTCCTTATGATCCGATCAAGATCTGCTATCATATATTTCAGGGCATCGTTTTTGAGGGTGACATCCTTTGTATCTGGAAGTACCCATTTATGATACAACTTATTATGTGCTCCAGAAGTGAAGATATTGTATCCTTTGGTATTTGCAAATTTGATATATAATTCACATAAGTAACAACAATACTTAGATACCGCTATAAGCGTCGGTTTTTTATCTTTACTGTCTATAATATTGGTCAATATGTTCATTTCCGCATGTAAACATAAGCGTTGTTCAATTTTTTCGCTGTCCAATTGTGGATTGCCGTTTGTATCTGTCTTATATACTTCCTTTAATTTTTTCAATGTATCATCATCATCTAAACACCTTTTCTTAAATTTTTCATACTCTTTGGTAACATGAACAAACTTTTGAATAATATTCGCCCATGAAAAAATGGGTTGACGATTAATTGAAACAGGCTTCAATGTAACTACATCCATATTAGAAAATTGGTTTTTGTACTTTACATTACAGGCGCATGCTGTGATATCGACCAAAGCTGAATAGTAAGATCCCACCTTTTTGAGATGTCTTAGAAATTTTTTCGGAATTTCAGGTTTATCTTTGACTGTTTTATAATACCTGCTACAAATGCCAGATATTTTGTATCCACGTACTTCAATTACATCATTAATGTTAGCAAATTCTTTGAAAAATAAAATATGTTGATTTTGTGATTCTCCAACTATATCCTTCTTAAGCTTTTCAAGTCTAGTTTCGAACTTAGCTAAACAGTATCTCTTTACAGTTTTGAATAATACCTTCACATCATTTCTTTTAAATGCCGTATCCAACGGTATGGGAGCATTTCCAGATATACTTTTTAAATATTCCTTGATTTTTTTGATATATTCTGTATCTTCTTTTTCCCACCTTTCGTTTTTAGAAATATAAACAACACATTTGTCGGAAAAAAGTTTCAATCTTACTGCTACCACTTCATGGTCTCTTGCCAATATTGTTGCTAGATTACAAGAAAATCTTTCATCCACTTCCAAATCTCTTTCCTCTTCCTCTCTTTCTTCGCTAACGACAAACTTGATACTTCCGGCAACACACACTTTACTGTACAACTCTTGCATTTTTTTCCTGTTTGCCATTCTGGTATTCTGTATTTATAAGCTTTTTATATAGAAAATATTCTGTAAATCGTATTGATCGGGCTTTATCAGGATGGTTCGTGTAACATTACTCAAATTAAGGTTTGGCCATTTCGACTTTAAACTAATACTTATTTTTCGTCAGGATTTCGAGGACCTCACGGAGGATAAATTTCCGGCGGGGCTTTTTCTAAGGTATGACATATAACTGACGACCATTTTATTATATCCAGAATACCGATGTTGGATACAAATGAAATCGGATTAGAGTTGAGAATATTGTATTAGTATATAGATAGCTTAGCTTTGGATGAACGAAACACCAGCAGGATTAGTATAGAGACTTCACTTTGTAAAACATTTATGTATTTTCGAATCTTGTAATTTATTTTTTTACATCAATAAATCAGTAATTCCGATCGTGACATTTTGTCACGGTTTTTTTTATCTATGCTAACGAACTTTTGAATTATTCCATCTCATATAAAAAATTATTATCGAACATGCAATCCATTGATTCATTGAGAGAATTAAATGCCAAGCTCTTAGCTGAGATTGCCGAGCTTAGGAAGGTGAATGCTGAGCTTAAGGATAAGAATGCTGAAATCCCTGATCTTAAAAGGAAGTTTGCTGAGATTGAGTCCGAGAAAGTTGAGCTTAAGGCCAGGATTGCCGAGCTTCTAAGACAGGCTGTAGAAGAGAGTAAGAGACGTGATGTTGAGAATGCCAAACTCAAGGCCAGAATCGAGGAACTAGAGAAAAATAAGACAGTTACCACTAAACTCGAGTCTGAAAATGCTGAGTTTAGAGATAGAATCACAAAAGTGGAACAGAGGCAAATGCTAAATGATACTTCTTCTAATAACAGTTCACCTAACTTCAATTCGGTTGCAGATCAGTTATCCATGGCAACATATCATGAGAAACCGTTAGTGGATAAGAAAATGGATACTTCATTACCTGAAAAACTGATTCCAGAGGTGATTGCAAAGCAATCGGTATCAGCTGTTAATAATCCATTATGGACCAATGTGATCAGACGTCCTTAGAAGATAAGGAAACGGATGCTTTCTTGGATGAAGTGCATAAGGAAAAGGTTAGTAATGAGATTAGGCAAAAAAGCGGGAAAAAAAGCTTAGCCAATC